TGAAAATTTTTAAGTTCCAACGTTTTTGTTTGTTATATTTTTAGATTTTCCTTTTTAATAACACAAATCATTACCAAAAGTAACAAAAAACATCAAATTAATTAAAATTATGTCAAAGTTTCCAAATCAAATTCAGTAAATGGAGAACATGTTTTGGGTACTTCTTTAAGATTAGCCTTATCCCAATCAATATACAAACGTAAAGCATTTTGGTATTCAATAATTGAAGATTGACAATAAAGTTTAAGAAAAGAATAAGGAAGTGTTGTATCACCACCAATAATCATTTTAACTTCATTTAATTTCTCTTCAAGACTATCAAAAATAATCCGATCAATATCTTCCATTTTAACACCACGTTTTAATTGTTTTTTTATTAGAGAAGATTCATTTTTATCAAATTTACTCCAATTAAGATGAGACCTTCTTATAAATAAGAATTTATACAATATAAAATGATGAAAGATTTGTCTAACAGTATTATTCCAATGGTTAAATAATTTCATAAACCATTTATCAATCAATAAATCTTTAAATAACAATAGTCGTGCTTTACCAATAAAGAAAAATGATGCATCATATAACATAGATAAAGTATTAATTATTAATTGATAATGGTCAGTTTCAAATATTTTATTAATTCCTTCAATAAACACTTCAATTTCAAATTGTTCATTACTCATTCGTTTATGTTCAATTAATATATTAAACCATTTTCCTAATAAACTTACAGCAAGATCACATTGACTAATATCATATCTATTAGTAATATCAAATAAGTGTTCAATCATATAATTTACTACAGTGGGATAGTCTATAAGTAAACTTCTTTTATCATTTTCACTCATAATAGAGATAGAATGATTTTTAGGAAATTCTAATCTCTGACAAACATATGAATTAATAAATTCTTCTAATCCATAAATTTCACCATAATCAATAAAATCATCTTGTCCTTTAATGGTAAAATAAATAAATTTAATATAATTGAAATAGAAAGACATAAAAATATCACTATTTGGACTTAATAAATTTATCCAATTTAAATTTATTCTCTTAAATTTTTCACTTATATCTTCTTTACTAATTGATTTAATAATTCTTTCCATTTCATCAAATCCAAAAATTCTTGGAAACTTTCTTTTAACTTCCATTACTTCTTCTTCTGACATACATTTTGAAAATGCTATAAGATTGGTATTTGTTCCTTTAACTATTTTTAATAATTGACTCCGAAATTCTGGAATTTGAAAGAACATAAATGCAAGGTAATGTGGAAAGAATTGAATAAATAATGGTGATACATTGTTCTCACAAAAAAATTCATCTTCAACAAAAATTGATTCCCCAAGTTGGGATGAAAATTGTTTTTGTTTTTTTGTCATAGATTCATCTTTTGAATTTTCAACATCTTCCATTGGTTTAATCAAAACTCGAGATAATACTGACTGTCTTCTTTCTTCATTAATAGAAACAGTATTCCCTTCTACAGTTTTTAAACTGGCTTCAATCTCATTAACGATAATATCTTTTTGAGTTAAATTTTTACCTTCTTCTTTACCTTCATTTTCTATTTCAAAACTATCTTCGTTGATATTTATTTTTCCATCTTTGTATTCCTTTACACTAATCTTAATTGATTCATTTGAAAATGCTGGTTCTTCTTTTTTTTTCTTTTTCTCTTTTGATTCTTCTATACTTTCTGTTGATGGTTTCTTTGGTTTTAAGACAAGTTTCATTGAGGCAAATAATGTAAATTGTTTTGAGGTTAATATATCTCCAATACAAAAAAACGTTTCATACGTTAATTTTCTTAGGTCTATTGCTCTTATTAAAAATTCATTTCTATTGGATTCTTTAAGAGAGGGATTATTTACAAGAAGGTGATGTGGTTGTACTTCACTTCGATTAACCAACATAATAATAAACTTATAAAAAATATGAGGTATTATCATTTGATCTACTTCTTTTATTATATTAAGTAAAATGCTCCATATATGAATAATATTATCAATCATATTCAATTGGTCTTCAATAGAGTCAATTTTAATTTGGAAATTTAATGAAACATACATACTATTTAATTCTTTTTCTAACTTTTTTATATACGTTTTCAAAGCAGATTCTTTTGTTGGAATAGTTTTAAATTCTTTCTCAAAAACAATAGCCCCCTTTTTAATCATTTCAACTAAGTCATGATATGACATAATTTTCTTAGTAGTTTTTAAAGACCTTCCCATCTTTCTTTCTGGTCCTTTTACCTTTTGTTTAATTTTAAAGTTTTCTTCATTTTTTTCTTTATTACTATTTTCCTTTAACTCACACGTCATATTAATTCTCTTATTTAATTTTTGATATTAAAACAATATAATACTTTTTAAAGAAAAATAAAAAATCAATTAAAGTTTTTTATATTTCTTTCTTCTAATATTTTTATTTTTTCTTTTCTTAAAGAAAAAAATTAGTTCTCAGCTTTTACGTACTTATCATTATAATTAGCAATTGAAATAATGACAAAAGCTGCTCCGATTATAAAAGTAGTGTCTACTTGTGTTCCAAAAATAAAAATAGAACATATTGTTGTTAATACAATGGCACATCCAATGGAAAATCCTTTAACAATATTATCAGCATATGTCATAACTAATGCCACAAAAATTCCTCCAACTCCTTGAATAATAATTAATAAAATAGTGATATATGACCATCCACCAAAGAACCCATTATCAAGTATTGATTTACCATCAAAAATGAAGGTAGATAAAAGGGCAAATCCACATCCATAAACGCATAACTGGATATTTCTTTCCCAAATATTTAATGGCTCAGTTCCACTTGTTTTATTTTTCAAGATCTTTTCCATATAAACACCACTAAAACCAGAACAACATGCCATTACTAAACTCAAAACAATTCCAAGTAGGTTGTTTTCAGTTTCATTCTTTTTTTCACTTGAATAACGGTTTGTACTAATCTCAACAAGAATTACTCCTGTAACTAATAAGGCCAATGCTCTCCATTGAGCAACTGAAAGCTTACGTCCAAGGAATAGTACTGAAAATATTGCAGTAGTAAATACTTTTAACTGAATGATAACAGTGTAAACAGCTGCTTGTGTATTTTGAAGGATAATATAAAGAAGCATATTTTGAATAAAATAAATACAACCAGGAACTGACGCAACAAGGGATGTTTTAATTAAATAAATAACATGCTGAAGTAAGTTCTCCTTTTTATGAACAAATTTTAACATGACCAAACAAATTAAAAATTTTAATATTTCATTAAATACAATAGTTGATGGTATTGAGTATGTTTCATGTAATACACCCCTTGAGTATCTTCCTAGAATTGATTGGATAACAGTTTGACAACACAATAAAACAAGAAAAATTAAGCTGACTACACTTGAGTTCATTTTCTTGATTAAAAATTAATAAGATTAAATTTGTCTTTTTTATCTTTCGTTTTGCTCAATTTCCACTTTCTTCTTTTTATTTAAATGAAATAAAGTAAATTATTAGTTTTTGGTTTATATTGAGTGGTTTATTTTTCTATCAATCTTTTATGTTTATGTTTAATTTACATATAATTTAGATGTTAAAAATTTATACATATTTTCTAATTTCTAAAATAATGTAAATAATGTATTTTAGGCAAATACAACCTGATTCTAAGGTAACAATATAGAAAATATAAAATTTACTTGTTTTTATTCAAAAACTGATAAATATGTGAAATTTATAATAAAGAAAATTTTTACTATTTGAAATGTCAAAATTTAGGAAATAAAATTTAGATAAAATTAATGGAATTTTATATTAAAAATATGTAAAATTTATAAAAACATTAAATTAGAAAAAGTTAATGTATTTTATAGTAAAAAATAACACATTTTCTCTAAGATAAAAAAGAATAAAAGTTAGAAGAATATTACATAAAAAAACTGGGATTTAGTCAAAATTTGAATAAGAAGTTGTTAATTATTTTAACTAAACTATACATGATATATATTATAATAAAGGAATAGAAAAAATATAACCCTTGGAACTATTTCAGAAACTAGAATAAAATGAAAAAAAAACCATTTAAAAAAGAAGATGTATTTAAAGATAACTGAAAAAAAATAAAACATCTTCTCTAAGTTATGGCAACAGGAAAGAATAAGAAGTATAAG